CAAGTAACTAGTAAAGTAACGCATTACTTTTTAATTTACAATAAAATATATGAGTTTCTTTTTCAAATAAGTAACTCCAGTAACTTTGTTTTCCCATTTATTGACTGACAACTCTCCTGTCCCCATGTTGAGAGAAATCGGGAACAAGTGCAGAGGCGCTGTGTGAACAAGAGACTAAATGTGAACATGCATTTACTCATCTCACTTGCACAAAACAGATTCAGTATTCCTCAAAATGAATGAAAACCTGCAATAATTAAATGTATTAAATAACACAAATATCTTTTATGCATTTAATCACATTTTATTAATCAATATCTTTGCAGCCGACCTTCGATGATCCAATTCAGCCACATTAATAAGCAAAAATGATTTAAAATAAACATGACATTTGTTTTTCTTTCTTTTTGTTTCATTGCTGAAGAGTGTTAAACTTTCTTCTCCTGCATTCTATGCTTCATGCAATCCAGAATGGCTGAGGCGTATTCGTTTCACTTTTGGTGTGAAAGGGCCTTTACATTTGCCAAAAATAGAACATTTTATATTTAAAAAAATTAGCAAGCCCAGCCCAGATGAGAAAAAGTAACGCAAAAGTAACGTAACGCATTACTTTCCATTAGGGCTGGGCAAAAAAATCGAATGCGATTTTCATGCGAATCTCGTCAGTATCAGTGTCTCCAGCACGTGCTTTCAGATGGAGCGGCATTTACTACACAGAGGAAGCGGCTTTACTGATGAGATGCGCATGAAAAAAATCGCATTCGATTTTTTGCACAGCCCTACTTTCCATAAAAAGTAACTAAGTAATGCAATTAGTAACTTTTGTAGGAAGTAACGCAATATTGTAATGCATTACTTTTAAAAGTAACTTTCCCCAACACTGCTAATATGTACACTTTAGGTACTTATATGTATCTTTAAGGTACCAATATGGACTTCTGAAAGTGCTTCATGTTGACTTCAGCTGTCAAGCACACAGAGTATGGAGGACGTGCAAACGCATCTCAGGTGAAGTCTCTTTCAGCTGCTTGGGCCGCGAGGCTCCAAGGCCCCGGCGCTTCCCGCTCGGATGATAAATATGTTATTGAGACGGAGCCGAGCGAGCTCTCGGTGGCACGCGGAGCGAGGGTGTGTTCGGCGGTCAACAACGCTACTGCAACCGCTTGGCCAGAGCTTCTGAAATCCTAATCTGTTTTTCTTCTGTTTTATAAGCTTCTGAATATTTGTGGCCGGCGAGATCAGATTCTCTGGAGAGCTACAGAGCTGCACGTGAATGGAGAACACTAGCAAATCCACACACACATAAACACGCACGCTTTCTGCAGTGTGTCATCCTCCAAAGCTTGAGAGAAACAGGGAAACGTTTCATGTTAGTGGGCGAGGAGAAGAAAAAGAAATACGGAGGGTACAGACAGACGTTAAAGGGAAAGGAGAGGGAAGGACATGCATTTTAAAACCAAGTTAAAATGCCATCTGCTTCAGGGACACGAGGAAGCTTGCGCACTCACTGAGACACTTACCAATCGCTTCTGGAAATGATAAAAAACAGAAAAAGAAGCAGAAAGGAAGAACAAAACAGCACATTTTAGGGTCGGGTTCACAGCAGTCGCACACACCCTGAAATCAATAGAGTTTAGTGCGGAAGATCCCTTTGTAGGACGAGATGTTAAACACAGACTTTAGGCCATTTTATGAGCACGTTTAATGATATTAGAGACTAGCTTATGAGGGAATCTCAGGAAACCCGTCAAGAACATTTCTAGGTTTCTATATTTGGAAAAAAATATAAATAAAATAAAAATACAATTTGAATAAAGAGGGAATTAAGCACCACTCCATCTCCAAATTCTCATTATCAAAATGATTTCATAATTTTAAAAATTATTCTCAATTATGATTTTAATAGTTTATTTTACTGTACATAATTTAAAAATCATTTAAATAAGCACAAATTAAATATTTAATTGAAATAAGCAAAAATTAAAGTTCAAAACACGTACAATAAATCTAAACTTCTATCATGTATAAATACTAAAACATATAAATATTAAATATTTAAAAAGTATAAATATTAATTTAACATTAATAAATATATATATATACTTGAAATAATATTTTAATAATATTATTAATATGTAATTTAATATACATTACATGTAAAATAATAATAATAATAATATTAATAATAATAATAATTCAAATGTATTTAATACATTTAAAAAGAACACTTATAGAATTTTACATAATGGTTAATTACACAATTAACCATTATACAATGGTTAATTGTATTACTTTTAGATAATTAATTTAAATAAGTACAAATAAAACATTTAATTGATACAAGCATAAAGTAAAGATCAATGCAAGAACAATAAATATAATCTTCCATCATGAATAAATACTTAATAATATTAAGTTTATAAATAAGTAATGTTTTAATAATAGTAATAATATATTATTTAATATTTTAATGTTTTTAAAATAAGAAGAGCCTTTTCACATTACAATAATGAGAATGTGTTATATAATTTCATTATGGTAATGAATTTTGGGTATCTATTTTATTTTCATTTGCTTTTCTGTGTTGAAATATTACCTGAACATGTTCTTGACAAGTTTAGCGAGTTTTAGAGTTTGCAAACTTGTTTTATCACATCGATTCAAACTAATATGTTATGTATAGTTAGAATTATAGTTATGTTTTATATATAGTGTGTGAAAACAGTCAAAATATCTGCCCTTGGTAAAACAATTATTGCCTTAAGAAATTCATTAACATCTTTAGAGATTTAGAAAACGTTAGCATATTTAATTACCAATTAGACGCACCAAATAAATACTACAAAAAGAATTTAGATAACTCACTAACACACAAATTGAATTAAGACCATGATTATAGCTAATTTGTACATGCTGTATGCTCTGCATACTGAATTTAGTTTGTCTAATTAGTAGTACTCCAATAGTATGTTAATTATCGGGGGCTAGTCAATGTTCTGCATGTGAATGCGTAAATGCCGCTAGAAACCTGCTAAAGTTGAAATAGAGACAGAGACATCACAAACAAGACAACAGAGAGTGAGGCACAACAACATGTATGACCCACTCACACGGCGACAAAAACACAGACAGAGGGAGGACAGGTTGCATAGTCATGCTAAACTTAGCTGCTAAACTTTTAGCACTGCTTCGTCAAACTGTAGGCTAACATAAGCATTTTCAGAAATATGCATTCCCAAAACCCGTTAAATTTGTCCGATTAATCTGTACGTCTGTCAGCAGGGCAGAGAAATTAGCTTACTAAATGAGCTATGAACGCTAACCTTGCGGCTAGTGACATCGCTAATGGAAGCTAAAAGGGTTGACTGTTTGGGTAAGGCCCAACATGTTACACAATAATCTAGCTTCTTGTCTGCAACGAGAAAAGTCAAAGGCATTTGTGTTCCTGTACCACAGCCAACAGCGTTACAGAGGCCTGTGATACCCTCTTGGCGAGTCTGGGTCGTCCATTAACACGGCGCAAAACAAAGCACTCAAGTCTAGCATAAGTGAGAGCAGATGTAGCTGCTCACCGCCAAACCACTTTGCTCGAATCTGAAACTTTATTTTGAAAATACCATGATGGATCCTGAAAAAGGGAACTTGGGTAAGCAAGTTCAGGTCAAGGGCTGCCAGCCGAGTATCTACTGCCCATACTGATTTACGTCAACAGCTCAGAAACAAATGCAACCCAATAGATTTTTCTTTTCTCTGTTGCTGACAAATCACTGACCCACAACGGTGGCCTTGGGGCGACTGGAGCGCTAGACTTAATGAGATATATAATTAGACTGTTTTACTGGGTCTTTCAATAAAGTTTCATTACCTTAAACCAGACATTAATCATATGCTTGCCACAAAATCTGGACTAAGCTCCTCTGACACAGTTCATTAAAAGACATTATCTTTCCATTTCAGCTTCCCTAGCAACTTATAGCGCTAACTCTGTGGGTGGTTGTTTTGGAAGAGCACAGGGTACCTATAATCAGAAAGAGGACTGGTACAGAAGCAGTGGGATAAGCAGAAGAATATTAGCAGTAAAGCTTAAGGCGCATCCGTTGGTCTTACCCGATCTGAGCTGTTTGATTCGGCCGTTACTTGTGCTGGGGTCGATGGGGAGGAAGTCTTTGAACCAGGTGATTTCCGGGTCGGGGTTACCGCTCGCGGCGCAAAGCATGGTAGCCGTGCGCGTGCGCTCCACCACCTTCAGCTGTGGGCCCATGTCGATGTTGGGGAAGCCAGCAGGAAGTAGGTCCTCTGTAGGGGAAAACAAAGAAGTTTAGAGACAAGCGGTGGACCATTAGATGCCAATAACCTACTCGATAGTTCCTACTAAACAAGTTACTGGAAAAACCAACTTGGCCTGGTATGAGCAAGTAAGCCCTCTGTTGGGGAGAACTTAGAGAAGTTTAAAGATGAGCAGTGGACATTCAGATGCCAATAACCTACTTGAAAGTTCCTACAAAGCAAGCTTCTGAGAGAACCAACTTGGCCTGGTATGAGCAAGTAGCCAAGTCGGGTTTGGCTAGGACCTGTTTCCCTTCAGGGACCCTCAAGGGGACTTGCTGAGGAACAATCAAACATTCTCATAGCAAAGAGCACACTGAGCTGTTGCTCATACCGTCATGCATATCATTCGAGTCCTACGGATCCGAGTCTACATCACTAGCGACAGAGCCGTTTAATCGGGGCAAGCACTGGTGACATTTCCCCCCCGGTTCCTCCATAGTTGTTTACAGCACTGAATTGATACGAAGAGACAGGTGACACACAATAGATTTTGACAATTCAGCCCTCTCGCTCTTCAAATGAATCCAGTGTGGCTGATGCCTGCTGTTGTAGGCCAACACAAGCCTTCACGCTCTTCATTGGATCTGCTGTAAAGACAATGATGGATAAGGCAGAGGGAAAACCTCTCATTTCTTTGACCTGGTGTGACTCACATTCTGGCAAAGAAAATCAGACATCGTAGACCGTGCCAATGGGCACAGGTCAGGCTCTAAGTGTGAAGGTCACATCCTTCGAACCCTTTGAGAGTCACAAAGGTGTGCCAAGGCTCATGACATTACAAGAAACCCACGCAGTGCACCTAGTGCCGGCAACTGTTGTTTTTACACGGGCCTTGACACCAAAAGAAAGGATTTGAGCCAATGTTTTGTGCAATGACCTTTCATTTCCATGTTCAATTATTCAGTGTTGGCTGGGGAAGCATTATGTCTGTCTATCGATTATTAACCAGCAAAGATGGGATATTTAAACATTCCAGCTTGGGGGAGAAGATACAGATACTTGTCCTTCCAAAAGCAGAATTTTGGAAAGCAACATTTTGTGTTTGCTGTAAATGTGATCCATGGCTGGATTATCCATGCTGTGACACCAGAATAGGATTTCTGCAAAGCACACAAATTAAGCCTTAAACACAAGATGAGTAATTTGATTTGAGCTTAATTAAAGGAGGCGAGTACTGGGGAGTTTGGACTGGTGGTGGGCGAGTGAGAGCAGCGAACAGTGTCACTGATAGAAATGTCAAAGCAATTCAAATTCTATTATAGAGTCTGTGAAAGAGGTCGAGACAGGAGCTGCAATAATACCATGTCACGGTGCTAGCACTGCTTATATATAGTGGTAATGACTGCGGGTATACGAATGCAAACGGAAAGTATATCTATATTGTCACCGGGATGCAATAAGTGACCTGGAATCATCCACTAGGAGAGGCTCACCGCGAGCACTCCAAAGTAGAGATGTCCTCTTCGGCTAATAGAAATGAAGAAGGGCTAGAAATAGAATTTACCTTGCAGATGTACTTTTCCAACACTCAAATTGGTTCAGGGTCAGTTGCTCTGGTAAAATATGAAGGAAATCAGGCAGTAGCGCATGCATATCCGCGCCAAGAGCCCTTAGCCCTGTCCTGCCTGGCTTGCATTCATGGTAAAAAAAAAGCCCTGGAGTTTTAATTCCAGCATTCCTCACCAATCTGATCACATGATTAGGTGGCTATTCTCTCCACAACAGCTTTTTGATATTGTCACAACCAGTTGACTCACATTAGGCTTGAGGTCTGGGCACGAGTTTCTATCTACCTCTCTAGCACTAGCCTTGTGACATCCCATAACCCCAAACAACTTAATTCAATTCAATTTAATTCAGAGGCTTTCAAATAGTGGCCCATTAGACAAAAACACAGCATTCCCCTATCTTTGCGCATTTCAGGTGCTACATAATAGCATATGTCTTTTTTTGTTCTGCACTTTGCTGAGGGATAATTCTAACTCATAATTCCTTAAAATAAGAACTAGAATGCAGGCCTCGTACTGGGTTTATAACTGGGCGGCTCTGAAGTCCGCCCCTGGCCTGACTAAGAGGCTGTTAAGCCGCGATGATAATGATGCTGTTATGATGATCAGCATAGCAGGATGAGTGCACCGGCCACTTTAGCCAAAAGCTGCACATTCACCGATTCAGAAGGGCACTGAAGTCGTCCTGAACCCCCCTCCCCTCACCCCCAAACCTTCAATCCGTTAAGCTTTGACAGGGGCTTTTTCGCTCGTGTTATTATCTGTAATTGCATTTAATTGTAGCATGTGATTTCATGGCATTACGCAAGTGACAGGTGCAAAGCCTCTTAACCTGAGCGGTCAGTTTAGCGCAAGTGGATTTGCAGACGTGCATCCATGGTAATAAGCAAATGAGTTTTGATTGACTTGTGATGATCTCTGAAGCTCATTATCTGTTCCGATTAAAAGTAAAATGGCTATTGCTGCCTGGGCACCAAAATAAATATGCAATATATGCACAACTGCCACCTTCTGATGATTTTTCTTTTAGAATATATCCGTAGTGACAAATAAAAGACCAATTTCCATGTACAATACGAAATATAACACCAAATACTAAGACTGGGTTTGTATGATACCTAGCATTTGCCACTGGGTGTCCATAAGCAAATGAGTTCTAGTTGATTAATGATGATCTCTGAAGCTCATTATCCATGCAGGTGTAATATTTCATATCACAGATTAAAAGTAAAATGGCTTTTGCAGCTTGTACATCAAAATAAATAGGTAATATATACACAACTGCCGCCTTCTGCCGGGACTATGGCATTCTTGTTAACAGCTTTATCAACCAGAGACACATTTCATAATTACACAACGCATTCTTTGATAAGCGTGCATTTTTAAAAACTGCTCTCCAGCAAACACGTTTCTGCTGATAAAAGTCTCAGGGGCGGCATCAAATTCCACAGACGTATCCTCCCAAGTATTGGCTATTTTTTTATTTTCACTTACAGAAATGATTTAATTTCATCAGTTCCTTAATCAGGTTAACTGATTAGCTCTCGCCACAGCCAGAGATGGCTTTAGAAACACATTAATATTTCCGAGAACTCTGGGAGGGTTGGGGAACAGTGGGTGGAAGAGCCAAAGAGAGAAAAATGGGATACAAACCACACGATGGGAAGAGGAAGACGTGTTTTTTCAAAAGCAGAACTAAGACGACATTTAACTAATCTGTAGCCCCAGCTGTGTGGATTTGAGAGGTGGTCAATTTAATTTCCTGTGCTCCAAAAACAGCTCAATTTGCATAACAGGAAGTGCACCGAGGAGCGGACGAGAGTTTGTGCGCTTGCTTGATTAATTCTGGAAGAGTCACCGGTCATTAGGGCTGTGTATCATCAGCAAAGTCACGATACGATACGTATCACGATACAGGGGCCACGATACGATACATATCACGATACAGGACTGCACTGAATTTCACCTCAGCAGAATTTAGTAAAACAACTGTTTATTAAACACTGCTTACTATAGTGCCATTTCTAACTATTGGCAGAGCAGGCAGCTGACCTCTGCATTATGAAGGGCCTCCATAACTGTACCACAGTACAATATAGGTAATGGCATATGTTTCATGTTTACATTGGGCACTCCCCACCAGGTACAATATTCTGATTGTTTGCATCTTGTTTTTAAGCCCATAAATAATAAAGTACTCGTTCTAATAAATTTATATAGTAATTTACTCATTCTGAAGAGTTCTAAACTAATGCGCTGTCTTCACTGTATCTCACGCACACACGCTCAGTCACTCACACAGATCACGTTGCGGCCGCATTCGGACATTCAGGAACAAACTTTTTAGCGCTGCCCCGCAATTTTATCAATAAAATAGCTTAATCACTCAAGAGCTACATTATCTTTCTAAACAAGGAGCTGGTAACATCATAGTTTCTAAAGGAATTAAAGCCACAGCTTCACTATTAACAGAGAAACGCCCAGTTGTGTTCCTCTGTGGCCAGATTAAACCTTGTTGTAGCCTATATATTCATAATTTTTTTAGAAACCTCACACTTCTCTACTCAATTTTAAATGTTGTTCTTGTATTCAAATTAAGCACGGTCCACTGCTGCACACGTGCCACAATATCGATACAGGGCCAGCTGTCGTATCGTCGTATCGATGTATCGAACACAGCACTACCGGTCATGGCGCTTTGGGTTCGGCTGGCCTATCACGTCAAACAGTGCGCCGTCAGCATGGGCTGCTGCACAGGAGACAGGGACACAAGTGCAGGGAGACTAATAATGGACTGGGCGTGGAGAGAGAGTGAGGGCTGCAGGGTGGAGGCGGAACCACATAATGCTCCATTAAGGAGCGTGAATCCCATTTCTGCGTCTTCAGATACACCATCGCAGCCCAGCTTCTGCACTCGGCACCGTGCCTAGTGGTATATGCCAATTGGTATGCCTTAAGTTTGCTACAGAATCAAGGACACCGTCTCCGACCATCCCAATTTCATGAAGTTTCTTCAACTAGAGCAGCTAGAGAATGATGAATGTAAGACCTTGGGCATTTCATATGAGAAAATCTTTTTATTTATTTAATATAAAATAAATTAATATAATATATTATTAATTTATACATTCATACAATAATAAAAATATTATTCATTAAATAAAATTTATAATTATCATTATTTATTTATTTTTTTTATTTCCACATCAGACAAAGTCACTGTTTACTAGCAAATTCGTTCAGCGGCAACTCTTCAGGAGCAGAGCTTCTTTGCATTAGCATTTCAAATCCTAAAATGTGGGGCTGACTGCTAGATTTCCATCAGGATTGGTGAAGCTCGGGATTTCTCACAAATTATGGTAATTCACAACCCCAGTCTTAATTATCGCCTCTGTTCTAATAGGACCCAACAGATTCACAGCTACTGCTGGTAGATTTGTGTTTCACTAAAGGCATCAA